GCTGGAGTCTGGTTTTAGACCGAAAATTGCCAACCTACTCGTGAGTGTTGCATACACACACGAAAACGCATCCACGAAGCTGTAGCAAGACCCAGGATTAAAGGATCATACGCTAGTTTATTTACATAGACAAAAGTTGTGACCACTTCTGCTGCTCTTCCTTCACCATTTTTATAATATTTAATTAAGCATATTCTTTGCGGTACCGAAGGAGACTGTCTCGATCACGGAGTCACTCTATGTTAAGGGGAGTTTGTAGTCGTCCGCCAGGGAAATCGAACCATAAATCCATTCCTCCGCGAAGCAAGTGTCTGATGAAAAATGCCAAATACTATTTGCATGCTCATTGCAGTTACTTGGCTTTCGTTCCACTCCCTTTTGCAAAATATGTCGACTCGAGCTCCTGTAGAAGAAGAGGAGGATTTGATCATTTTGTCTCTGCTGCAAAGGGTGCTAGCTCAGAAATCAGTTTGCTCAATTTCATTGTTTCTGGATGATGGCTCTAAATCTTCATTTTCTCTGTTGATACTCGCTTTCTTGGTATGCCGCATTTGAAGGATGCTTCTATCAGTCCAGGTTACCTTCGGTTGCTGTCTTTCATGCTCAGAAATTCCATTCTCATTCCGGTCTGTGCTGGGCTCTAACGAAACGCCTTCTCCTTCCCGGCCAAAAAGCTGCTTCCATAAAATATCCTTTCGCTTATTAGTCCACTCGGTCTATTGAGCAGTCATAAACAACAATCCGGGGCGTCCACTACCGTCCCCTTTGCTCCATGCCTTGACTCCTCTCATCCTAATTCCTGAGGGTACATTTACGAGAATCTGTAAATCTAGTCCTTGCCCTGAGCAACCTCCATGCCAATGCCTGCCTTGTACTCCCTTGTAGGCTTCAGCCAAAAAATGCCTTCCTGTAGGGAGTCTGGAACTGGAAAGGATGAAATGAAGGCTAGAGGATGGGAGGGAGGATTAAGAAAAAGACGTGGGAGGAGAAGGCGACGAAGATGAGAGGGCTGGACAGACTGGACAGACGGAACAGATAGACGATAACGACAAAACCTAAATGAACAAGTTTAAGTGGCCCACCTGTAAGGAACTCGCCCTGGGATTAAGTCCATCCTGCAATACCAATGCATGCTGACAAGCGCAAGAGCTCAAATGAAAGCGTCCATGGCACCGTAAACGCCATCATCGGGGCATTAAAGCCCAGAAACTGCAGACAAGTGGGCGCAGTCTGGTCGGGACTAAATCAAGACAGAGCGGAAACGAGTGTATGAGTGTGCACATAAAAATATTGTAAATGACTTTAGCTGCACCAACCTCTTCGTCTGGTTGAGCTCAAATTAGTCTGGTTGACGCTGAAGCCGGGGCTCAGCAGAATCGGAAAATGCCATGTCTACCAATTTCGCCTTTTTGCTGCATGTAAAGATGATAATTAGGCTTTGCGGTGGTCTTGCCCTGTCGCTCTCTCTCTCTCTCTCTCACTACCTGTGGTACCTTGGTGTGGGATAGGCGTAAATAAGTTGTTAATTTTGGGCAAAGTAACGACGTCAATAACATAACTGTTTGTTGTTATCCTGTTGTTGCTTTGCTGTTGACGTGTCTCTTGAAAGTTGCCTCTCCAGTCTGTTGCCAGACGATTCTGTACCTGCTGGTGCTTCCTCTGAGCATGGTAATTAGCCCACTTCTTTGAAGGGGTAAAGCGGTCTGCGGCAGAAGCCCAGGCCGCAGGGCAGGGTGTGCTGGGCTGTATGGAAGTCTGGTTAAAACGCATTTTTGTGCCTTCTCTCTGCACATGCCCCTCTTCTCTCCACCTTCCCTCTACAGGACCTCTCCCATGCCGAGGGGCTAAGTAGTCAGGTGTACGAGAAAATGGAGATTGACCCTGATTACAGGATCCTCCTAAGGATTGTGAAACCACTTTCGATGTCCGACGGCTGCTGGAAGACACTTTTACAAATGGAGAAGTCAATTTCGTCTGAAATGCATTCCAATTATTTGTACACTCAAAAATCTGTCGCTGAGGCTGGCGAGACTCGCGGATTGAAAGTGTGTGATGGAGAGATTGGAAGGCCGATCCTACCAGAATAGGACGGCGGATGACTTTACAAGAACATACTTGCGGATGCTGCCCTCGAAACGATCTCCTCAGAATCCGGTGAAAAAGCGCCGAGCTTTCTTCTTTCATATGACGGGCACCAATGCAGGGAATCATTCCTATAACCATATTCAAGATAACGAACCACTGACTTATTACTAAATACCGCAACTGAGTGCAGTTTGATGAGGTATATTGTGATTTGGTTAGTTAGTGCGTTAGTTACTGGCATAACTTTCAGTTCGTTTGACAAAGCGGGCCGAAATGATTCGTAAATTGCCAAAGGACTTGTACGAGGTAGACATCGGCTTACCGTTCCACTATCCCGATGGCTCAGGGCTGAGCTTTTGTCTGTCATGTGATGGACATCGTCAGAGCCAGAGACCAGTATTCACGAACAATCACCAAAAAAACATTAAACCAAGAAGGGAGGCCAACGGAGATCCTACTTACTTCTTATACCCCACTTTACGGTCTTAATGCAGCATTTCATGATTTGAAGGTATGAAGAACAAGATGGTGTGGCCTTTTGTGTGGTCGCAGTCTCCTTTTGTTGTATAGAAGTTGTTCGACCTTGTTTTCTTAACTTGGTTATTTTGGTAGGAAGACTTAGAGGAACACACCTTGTCCGGAGTCCATTGTCTGTATGATCGTTTCCCAAGTTGAACCGTGGACGTGGTACATTCCCAAACCCAGGTCAGAAGGGGAGATAATGAGATGTATTCACCCTATTTCGTGTAAGGTGATGAAGGACTGGTAGTAGAATTTTCCCACAA